AACCTCGGGCACTTCAGCTCCTGGGGACAGCAGAGCAGGCTGGCAGGTGGCGTTGTAGGTCCCGTTTTGCAGGCAGGACAAGGTGAAACCCGAGTCTTTCTGTCTCCAGACCCATGCTCTTAGCCCTGGATGTGCGGCCTCCCTGATCCCCGGGAGAGGAAGGGAGGAGGGAGAGCAGGTGGGAAGGGGGCTGGAGACCCCTGAGTGCAGAGTCATTTAGCGAAGGTGACCTTGGAGTAGAGTCCATGAAGCCAAGACAGGTCACAGGGACTCCCCCTGAGGGGGGCATGCCAGGTGGACTGAGTGGTCAGGGGCCTCAGAGAGCAAATGCCCAGCAGCGCAGGGGGTCAGGAGTTCCCCTGGAGCGTCCCTCTTCATCTTGCAAACATCTCTTGGGTGGGTGGGTGGTTCCACGCTCTCCACATCCCCATCCTCGACACCAGCCTCCTCCCTCAGCCAGGCAGTTCTTCCTGACATCTGACTGCAAGCTTTGCTGCTGCATTACCCACAGACCCCAGCTGAAGCACCAGGAGAGGCCCTAGCCCTGCCTACCCCATCTGCAGAGCTCCTGGCTCAGGGCGAGGTAATCCTGCTGACAATTAATTGGCTCTTGTTGGAGGAGAATGAATACCATCTCATCTTAATCTTCCTCATTATTCTCCTGGTTCAGCAGAGTCAACACAAGATTAGGTTTAATTTATGGGAAAAAAAATAGCAAAGTCATTACTCACCAGGAGATCAGGATTGGATCTGCCTGGGTGGTCTGTGTTCACTGCCGGCACAGGGCTCTGCCTAGGCAGGATGGACTGGGGTTCCAGGACCCAGATCTATTTGGGACTGGATCCCTGGAGACCACCAGCCCTTCCTAGTCTTATAGGATTTACGCCCCAGAGGACCCAGCCTCCAAAATGTTTCTTAGGAGCCTCTGGCGTAAGAACAGCCCCAAGGCAGGGCAGGAGGCTCAGCCCCCTGCAGACTCAGACTGCCCGAAGCATGGAAGAAATCAGGCTTTGGGTTCAAATTCAGCCTCCTGAGACCCCCTTCTCTGCTAAGAACTGGGCAGGACCAGCCCTTTCTAGGTACTCGCTTGACAACGCTGCCACCTAGTGGCCTGTGGAAGAACTAGTCCTCCCTTTCCTCCTCCCTCTAGGTCCACAAGTAAAGGTAGCTACCATACTTACCAAAATCCAGATTTACAAAGTAAATAAATCAGAATGAAGAAAGGAGACTTTTTTCAACTGCAAAATGGCTATGGGGATCCAGCAGGAAATCTAAAAGAAAATTCACCTTACCTCCCCTGACCCCATAACTCAGGTGGCCCAGAAACACTTAGCAGCTCCTCCTCCCCCTGGGGCAGTGATGTGCATAGAAGCCCTAACGCCCCACAGTCTTTATCATCTCCCACTCTTTCCACTCTTCCTCACCTCGCAGCCCCTGGCTGCCGCCCCTGCTCGGTCCCCTGGCCTGTGTCCATCTTTGATCATTTACCATAGTGAAGATGCTCGGACTTGAGCTGGAAACCCAGCCTCAACTGCTTACTCATTGTGTGACCCTGGACAATCACCCCACATCTCTGAGTCTCAGCAGTTTTGTCTATAAGATAGGAACATCTGTATCTATCAGAGAGGGCCGTTGGGCAGATTAAATAAGCCTGTATGCCTAGCACAGGAACTGGCACTTGTGCAGCCTCCACAGATGCCAGTCATTGTCACCATCGTCCTTCACCCGTTACTCTTGGGAAATTTGGCTTCATCAACTAGACTGTCAGTTGCTGGTATCTAACTCCCCATCCCAGCTCCCACCACACAAAGCAAGGTTTTCCCTTAAAGGACACGGATATCATTTCTGCTTCCTCGAGCATGTATACCTGAGAAGACAGTGCATACAGCAGGTGCCCAGGAAGCTCTCTGGGTTGCCTGCCTACATCTCCAACCTCACGTCGCACCGTTCCCCAACTGGCGCCTGAGCTCTGGCCATGCTGGCTGCCTTTGTGATCGGCAAACAAGTCCACTCGCCCCGCCAGCCCTTTGCACTTACTGCTCCTGCCATGCGCTTCCCCTAGTTGTCTGCCGGCTTCTCCTTGTCATTCAAACGGTGCTGTCTCAGAGAGGGCCTCCCCGATCACCCTGACCAAAACAGCACCCCCACCTCGCTCTCCACTTTGTTTACTATACTGTAGAGGTCAAGAGCCTAAGTGGCGGAATAGAATTCCATTTATTAGCTCGTGGGCCTCAGACGAGGTGCTTAACCTCTCTGTGCTTCAGTTTTCTCATCTCTAAAAACTGAAAGTAATAATAGTTCTCACTTCATAACGTTATTATGATGGATTAATCTATATAAAGCTCTTAGAGTAGTGCCTAGCATGGATAGTAAGTGCTATACCATGTTAGTAATTGTTTTTATTCATTCACTTAGCCTCTTATGTTTATGTTTCCCCATCTGGGCCTTGTCTCCCAAAAAAGCAGAGTCCTTGCCTGTTTTATCCCCGCCTAACAGATAACAGGTGCTCAGTAAGTATTGATTAATTGGAAAGGACCCGAGGGGCCACACAGGCCTCCCTCTCCTTAGACAATGTTCAAGGCCATTGAACGTTGTGGCTGGCTAACCTGCCTGCAGTCCCTGGCTTCGCACTCCCCGCTGTCCGGAAGTGCCCTGGGGCGCCCCCTGCTGGACAGTGTGCAGGTTTCCCTTGAGGGAAACTGATATCTGCAGTCCTATTAACTGTGCGATTCCTGGGGGTCCTTCTCCGCCCTAATTGGGACAATAAAGCTGAGGGGCTAAGAGCAAGCTCTTTGGAGCAAGAGGCACCTGGATTAGAACCTGTGCTTCTCCAGTTATTCTGTGTGTCATTTGCCAGGAAGGTCCCTTGTCCTCAGTCTCACCACGTGAAGAAAGGGGATAATAATGCCCTCTCTCTCTTCCCCACTTCCATCTGGGAGACCTTGGTGGTGTGACAGGATGGCCCTGGGCACAGTGATCCTTGCCAGCCCACCTCCCACCCCCACCCCTGCAGTGCCAGCCCTTTGGCAACTCGGGAGCAGCTGTCTTGTCTTCCTGAGCTAAATACCACCGGTCTATCCAATGGTCCCTCCAGTGACAAGTACTTGGGGACAGTGGGTCTGGACCACCCCGTTATCCAAGCTCTTCAGGTCTCCCCTGCAGGCGCTAGGGGCAGAATCTAGCCTCTGGGCCCCTGGCTCTTCCCTCTGAGAGCAGGCAGTTGGCTGAAGGCGGCCTGGCTGGATTGGTACCCTCTTACCCCACCCCTCCCCCGCCCCCTCCCTGGCTGCTCTGTCTCTCCATCATGGCCCAGGGACTGAGGCTTCCCTGGCCTCTCTCCTGTCTCACTGCAAGCTTGTTCCCAGCCCTCACCAGTGCCCTTGGCTTTGACTGCAGGCCACAAACACTGCAACTCCAATGTCTCCAGCCCAGAGCCCCACACACTTCATGGGCCTCTTTCCTGAATCCCCACGGGAGGAGCTCCCCCACCACAACACCTTCCATGCCCCCCAAATTCCCACCCTGACATCAGTCCTCACGGGCACCGGGACCCAGATCCCTGGCCACTCAGGCCCACTGATGCTTCAGTCCAGCCTCCCCCTACAGCCCCAAGGCGGGCTCTGGGCCTCTGCCGACTCCTCCCCATCTGGCTCCCCACACACCCATCCTGGTCCCTCACCCCAAAGCTTCACATGACCTGTACTTAAACCTGGTCGCTTACAGGGGTGACCTGCTCCCTTTATGAATCCTCATCAACCTGGGCCCCCTGGCCCATTGGCCGTGCAGGTGGGTGTGGACGATGCCCTCCCCCACCAGCCTGTGAAATCCCCTAGGAAGGACAGGGGGTGCCCAGCGAGCAGGGGCTGTGCCCCACCTTAAGACTGGGCGTTCCCTGAGGTCAGGGCTTTGCCTCCCCTGTCACACTGAGGGTGCCCTCAGAGCAGGGACCATGCCTCCACCAGTAGATTGGAGACCCCCCGGGGCACCAGAGAAATCCTCTTCCACGGTGACCTCCTCAACGTAGCCAAGACGATGGCTCTTCCTGGGACAAGGAGTGTCTTGCTCACTCCTGTCACTTCAGGTCCCTGCACCGGGCCTGGCCATGAGGGGGACTTCAGGAATCACGAGCGAACGGACAAGTGAATGTATGAACCAGTGAACGCGTGCGGGCTGGCCCCAGATGACACCCTGCGGTCCCACCTGGCTAGCAGGTGGCATCAGGGCTCCGGAGCCAAGGGAGGCTGGTGGGGCACCGGGATTTTACTGGTCACCACATCGGGGAGAGCAGGTGTTCCAGGACCCTCCACCACTTGGGACCAGCAGCTAAGAGTCCTGGGGAGGGGCCGGGTTTGAGAGCTTCCGGGCAGGCTGGAGAGAGAACACCTGGCCCAGAGCCTGGGACCACCCCCATCCTCCCTCCCTCCCCCCAGACCAGTGCCCCGGGCCCGGCTGTGGACAGGGCTTAGAAAACCACCCATGAGAACAGATGGTCATGACTCCCAGCCAAGTCAACAGCAAGACAGGGGGAAGTGCATAAGACCATGAAGTGCATAAGAACTGAAGAAGGACACCAAGCTGACCCTTTCTGTGCTCCCACCCCCACCCCAGGTCACAGCATCCATCTCTGGGCCCAGGAGAATTCATACCCTAGATGAGGTGCTGCCACCACCCATGGGGATCAAGAGAGGCCTGGAGGGTGCCCCCCCATTCTGGCCTCTGGGCAGCTTGGGTGTCAGTCAGGCGCCAGGCCCCGCTCCCCACTCCTTGGCCTCACAATCCCAGCCTTTGTCTGCGGCCCAGGCCAGGCGGGCTCTGCCCCGGCCCAGTGGGCCCTGGAAACCAAAGCAGCTGGAGCCCCACCAAGTATTTTTCCAGGCTGAGCCAGGGGCTCTCAGGAGACAGGGAAGGATGCAAAGGGACGGGTACTCATTCATCCGTTTGTTCATTCATTTCCTTGAACAAATAATATTTATTGAACGTCCACATTGTGGCAGGCACTGTGCTAGGGGTGGGAGGTTCAGTGGTGGGCCCAGTCCAGGCCCAAGCCCTCACCCATCTTCTTTTCCAGATGCAAATATACGCCAACAAAACCCTTCTCTACCTGCGTGGGAGCTGGGCTTGGAGAAAGGGGCAGGAGAGGAGTGCATGGGGTCGGGGGGAGGAGTGGGTGCTACCACTAAGGCCTATCTACCCCAGGCCTCTGCCCCTCCGGGGCGGCTGGGGGAAGCTGGAGGAGGGATCGCTCAGGGTTCCACCCACACGCTGCTGTTGGTCACCCGGGCCCCGAACCAGCCCTTCCAGTAGACGGAGTCCTGCCCCGCATGCTCGAAGCGGACGAAGCGAACGCCGGGCCCGTAGTCGGTGAAAGTGTGGGAGATCTTGGGGGCGGGGGGCGGGGTTGAGGGGAAGAGTCAGGCTCGGGTCCCCAGATCTTCCCTGGCCACCCCACCCGGCCCACTGACCCGCCCCAAGCCCCGCTCGATTTCTCAGCCCCGGGGCGCTCTCCAAGACCCTTCGGCCCTTCCAGCCAGGCCCCGCCCACGGGGCGGGGTTTCCACAAGCCTCGCCCGCTATGTCTAGGTCCCGCCTCGCTGCCCCAGCGCCTCCAAGCTCACCTCGGTCCAGCCTCCATTGTCGCTCGTTTGCGGCACCGCCACCTGCCCGCTGTTGAACTCGGCCAGCACGTCTTCGTGCTCCGACAGCAGCTTCACCGTGAGCTCATACACGCAGCCGGCATCGCTGCGACCCGAGTACCTGCCCCAGGGAGGGAGCGGGCGCGGGGGGGCAGGCCTCAGCCGGCAGGCCTGGCCGGCTGCAGAAGGTAGCCCTGCCGACCCTACTTCCAGTGTCCCCACTTTACAGATAAGGAAACTGAGGCCAGAGCGAGAAAGTGACTTGCCCGAGGTCCAAATCCAAGGACTAAAACCGAAGTGTGCCGGACCCAACCTTGGGCGCAAAGCCAGCCCACAAAGATATGGTGTGTTTGGACAGTAGATTTTGAAAACCAAAAAATCTCTTTTTTTTGCCAGCATTTAAACTCAGGAGGAAAGGAGGATTTCACCTTCTCCTGGACATGCGGCCACCACCGCTAGGGGAGGCAGTGGCCCCGAAGCAGAGTCGTGGCTTCCGTCCCCGCCCCGCACCCAGGCCCCCAGGGCGGCTCACCAGTCCTTTACCACGATGGCTGGCTGAGTGGTGTCCAGCAGCTCCTCCCAGTAGCCCTCAGCCTGCAGGTCAACGACCTGCGCTTTTCGACACCACCTGGAGGAAGTGGGTTAGGAGGGAGTGGAGGCCCCCGTTCCCCGCCCCGCCCATCCCCCTTCTCCTTACTCGAAGGAGGACGCGAAGAACTTCTTGACGTTCTCGTCGTGGACGAACTCCATCCCACAGTCTCCGGGCATTTCCTCCACCCTCCAGCCGTCCCCGCCGTGCTCCACATCGCACCAGCCCTCCAGGTCCTCTGCGGGAACACAACAGCACCGCCCCCGTCACCAGGCCCTGCTGTGGGGGGGGAGGCGCTGGCTCTCGCCCACCACCCCCGCCCCCTGTCGGGTGCTGGGCCAACCGGCACTTGAATGGTGTCGGGTGGGAGCCGATGGTGGGGATGAATGGCAGGCACTTTCAGTTTGTCCCAGATCCTCTCTCCCTCCTGGGAGGGTCCCCTACAGGGCAAGTCTTGCCCCCGGTCACGGAGGGCGGAAGGGCCTGGGAAAGAGACCCCCAGGGAGCAGGTGGACAAGGAGATGATGATAATAGTGTTTATTGGGGCTATTCTGTGCTGGGCGTTGCGCCAAGTGCTCTATCTCATCCTCAAAGCAGGCTGGCATTGTGTACGGCCCATTTTCCTGAGGGGGAGGCTGAGTCCCCCAGCCATGGGGTCCTAGGCCCTGACCCTCACCTTCCCCGCACGGGTTGCGCAGCAAGTTGCGCCGCCTCTTGCTCAGGAAGTAGAACTGCTGCCAGTGGTCGCGCTCGTCCTCCGAGCCGCCCTCAGGCACCAGCCCCTCCTGCTGGCACTTGAGCAGCCACAGGGGGGCGCCGTCCACCAGCTCCTTCCAGCGCAGACACACTAGGCGGCACACCTGCACGAGCTCGGCGGCCGGCAGCTCGGCCAGCACGCGCAGCAGCAGCGGCTCCGGCAGCTCGTCCAGGTACGGCGCCACCGCCTCCTCCTCCTCGCCGGCGCTCGCCTCCTCCGCGCACGCCTCCTCCTGCGGCTCCTCGGGGCTCGCCTCCTCAGGCTGGCCCACGCTCTCTGTGGGGGCGAAGGGGTGCGGGGTGGTGACTTCCCCAAGGCCGTCTCCTTACAGGGCCCAGAACGCCGATGCGTCAGTTGTCCGCCCCCTACTCAGCAGCGGGGGCCAGAGATTCTGTTGACCAGAAGCTGGTGCCTAGGGGAGGAGGCCCGAGGGCCACAGGCGAGCCCCAAGGCCTCAGAAGCCTCAGTTTCCCCTGCAAGGGCAGTATACCCCACACCTGGGCAAATGACAGCAACTGATAATATATATTATTAACAGGACTGCCTTTCGTTTCACACATGAACTTCTTTAGTCCTTCCAACCACCCTCAGAGAGCCCTGCTTCTGTCACCTCCTCGTGGAAGCCCTCCTGGACTTCCCCATTACATCCTCTCACTGCCGGAGTCCCAGTCCTTCCCAGGTTTGTCCTGGTGTGTGATGGTTTTAAAAACATCTTTCTTGGGGCCCAATTGAGAGCATGGGGGCAGGAACGAAGTCTGAGGAACTCATTGCTTTGTCCCCAGTACCTGGCGTCTGGCACACCGTCAGCAGCTACTGTTTACTGGGCACTTAGCAAGTGTGGGCCTGCTCTGAGCATTCAAATTTCTTTCACTCTTTAAAGCCTCACATCTCTTCAAGGTTCTTCCTGTTGCTGTCCCTATTTCACAGATGAGGACGCGGAGGCCCAGAGAGGGAAGAGGGCTGAGGGTCACAATAGTGGTCAGAGCCTGGATTTGAACCCTGGCAGCCTGACCCCAGATCCCCCTTTAACCCTCACACCTCAATAAAATAATTCATTGAATCAGGAGGCACTGTCATAATTTTGATTCTGCAGATAAAGATGCTCAGGCTCCAAGATGTGAAATGACGTGCCAAAGCTCACACTGCCAGTATTGGGGAAGGGGACATGGGGATCTGAGGACTGGGAGGAAGGGAACCAGGCGTCCTTGACTTGGGGATGGAGGGGAGGACCCATTAGAAGACACTGTGTCAAACGAGATGGAATAAGTGCTTGGAGAAGGAAGGCTTTTTGCACTCCTGGCTCTCAGTTTCCTCATCTATAAGATGCCAGGCCATTTGGACAGCGCTGATGTCCAAACCCCCTGGGGGAGCGAGGCATTCTAAATGGTAAGGAGGTGGGCAGGTGTCCGGAGCCACGGGCTGGACCGTGGTCTGGATCCCAGCCGGCCTCAGCTAGGCCACCGAAGCCTTGAGTAAGCAGATACCAAGTGCCCAGTGTCTCTGGAGGAGAGAGACAGTGTGAGGAGACAGGGCCACTCTGGGTGACCAGGGAGGCCATGGCTCTGAGACTTAGGACAGGGAGTTCCTATGAGCTGAACCCTGGAAAGCCGAGGTGGTGGTGGAAATAGGCCGGGTACTGGCAGAGAAAACAGGCAGGGCCTGGATCCAAGTCCGGGTGCCGCTAGGACCCCAGCCGGCCAGCCCTTTGCCTCCTCACATGCAGCGTTTTCTCCCCCTTCCCCCACAGCCAGACCCTTGATTGCCGAATTGGGGTTTACCACTTCAGAGCCCAGAGTGCACAGTGACTCCTCAGTACATCTTATTTAGTGAAACTTATTATTCAGCACAGCACATTCCCGTCATTATTAGCGTGTTTATTTGTTATTAATATATTTGCCACATCTGTATGATGTAGGGTTATACGCACTCCCTTTTGGCAAAGCAGAAACTAAGGCCCAGAGACGCTTCCCGGCTACTCCCAAGTCACACTGCAGAACAGGGGGGAGTTGGAGAAGAAAATGCCAGGCCCTGACGCCACATCACCTGCCTGTCCTGCTGCCCACAGCTCTCTGGGGAGCAGAGCCCAGTGTCCTCACCTCTCCACCCCTCCCCCTGCCCTGCCCTGGCCCTGGTGGACACCTGATGCTCCCCCGAAAGGTGCACCTCGCCCAGTCCCCTCTCCTGGCCCCAGGCCTGGCACTTGAGGCCCCAGATCTGATTACAGGCCCCCCCACCCTTGCTCAAGTGCACACAACTCCCCACATTGTTGCTGTCGGAAAGTTATCTGGCCCCTGGAAGCTGCCTCCAAGGCTGATTCACTCACCTGGATTGGGCCCTGGAGTCCAGAGAATAGCTGGGCCCTGAGAAAAAGCAGGAGCCATTCTGGGGCCCTAGATAAGCTGTGGCAAGGGGGTCACACAGGATTGGGGGTGGGAGCTGAAGGAGCTGGGATCTTTAGGGCTGGGGGAAGGGGGCTTGGCCACCTGAGCATGCATCGGTCTGTTTCCCATTGTTTCCCCCAAACGGTGCCCACTCTCAGAGGGACCTGCTGAGGAAGGGATGGGGGAGTCCGCAGGCAGGATCTGTCCCCACCCTGACTCAGCGGGCAACCCCTACAGGCCAAGCCAGCTCAGAGGATGGGGAGGGGGTCTCTGGTGCCAGACAAGATGACTGGGCAGTCTTAGAGGGCCTTGAGTCGTAGAAAGGGCTGGTGCCCAAACTTCCCTCACTGCTGGCCTGGTCCCCACTGGGCACCTGGCCACCCAGCTGAAGGGTGGCCCCTCCAGACAAGGGAACCCAGGAGGAAGGCTGTGATGGGATGGGGAGAGGCCAGTAGCCCCCAAGAAATCCGGCAGCTCACCAGCCAGAGCTGGCAAATGAGAGAAACAAATGGAAGGAAAGGGCTTGCAGCCTCCTCCATCGTAGATGTCGCCCAGACCCCAGCCCTGAAAACCCTCAGAAAGCTGGGAGGCGGGGACCTGGGATTACTCCTACGCTACTTCCTGGGTAAATTGAAGCCCGGAGTCCTCCCTGCCTGCCTGTCACCTCTCCAGGCCTCCGGCCAGGCCACGACACCAGTCAGGACTGTGCTCTTGTGAGACTGTCTGAAGGACTTTGCTCAGGTGGAAGTTTGCGGTGCTGGGTCTCAGCACCCCCAACCCACTGTAGCACTCGCCCCCCCTGCCCCGGTCTCCCCTCCCAGGCTGAGCCAGTGGGTTCGGGCTGCAGCAGCTACCTGGGTCACCGTCTCCGTCCATCGCTGCGGAGGGCGATCGCGAGGAGGAGGAGCCGGAGCGCTGCGGGGCTGCCCGGGTCCCTAGGCGTCGGCGAGTCTAGGTGCTGCCTGCGTCTGGGTCGGGTCCCGGCCCGCCGCGCCTCTTAAAGGCCCCTGCCTCCGCCCCCGCCCCGCCTTTGGCCCCGCGCCGGGACGCCCGGCAGTCCGGAGCGGTGGGCCCGAGGCCTGAGGCTGCAGGTTCCTCGGCGGACCCTGGAGGCCGGGAAAGGTCAGGAGTCGTTTTTTATTTTTTATTTTTTGTTTTGTTTTATTTTTAATTGGGTGGGTGGTCCGATCTGAGCCTTCTAGCTCCCTCCTGGGTTGGCTGCTGGGAGGAGGAGGCGAGGGGCCAGGGAGAGTCTGGGTCATGCGGAGGGTGCGGGGCGCGCAGCCAGGCAAAGGGGAGGGGCAGAAGCTCCTCCCCGCACACCGCCACCCCGGGTAATTTTCCTACTTCGCGGTGGGGGGTGCGTCCCAGGTCCCACGCAGCCCGGCGCAAGACGGCGCGGCTCCGCGCGGGGAGGGGAGCGGGAGGTGGAGGCGGGGCCGGGGCGGGGCCGCATCCACCGGCGACCACAGGCTGAGGCCGGCCCAGCTCTTGCGACCGAGTGGGGTCTCGCAGCGGCGGCCGAATGCAGGTGACCGGCGAGGGTGGGCGCGGGGATTGCTGCGGCGGGGGCGCGGGCGGGCGGGGGCCGGACGGGGGCGCTTGGCGGCCCCTCTGCCGTGCACGGAGGGGGCCCCGCTCGGACAAGTCCCAGGCCGCGGGGACGCCGCGGTGCGGCCTCCAGCAGCGGTGCGAGCGGAAACCGGGGCCGGGGTCTTCCTCGATGTGCAGGCGTCCTAGTCTCGACTTTGGGGGACATGTTAAAGTCACGACGCGGAATGGGGGCCGAAGGCGCGCAAGGGGACCTGGAACTGGAGCCCAGACACAGGAAAGGGGTTGGGGGTATAGACAAGGCCTTTCCATCTCCTACCCTGTCTCCAGTCCCAGCTGGGCAGACCATTTCCACTGCGGCCTCGAGAGGGTCGCTTGAGCCCTTTCGGCCTCCGTTCGAGACAATAATTATTTTTGTCCCCAACATGCCCCCCCTCTCCGAGGATGGAAGAGGGAATGAAGAAGGCACGGGGCAGACTGGAGTGCTCTGCGGGGCTGCGCATTGATACTTCGATTTTAAAGGCTGTCTGGTCTATTGAAAAAGGCTGCCTCTAGACCCGGAGAGGACTCGGCGCCTTCCCTCTGCTCCCGTTTGTGTGACTTTGGGTAGATGCAGCCACCTCTCCTTCGCCTCCTTTACAGAGTAGGACACGGAGGCTCAGAAAGGCATAGTGACTTTCCTGAGACAGTAAATGGCAGACCTGGGATGGGAACCTCCGCCACCGTGGGCGGCTGCAAGTACCGGGCGCAGGGAGAGAGCTTGGTCTGTAGCCTGGCTTCTCCATGACCACAGGAGAGCGTCCAGAAGCCAGGCGCCATGGCGGTGGGAAACATCAACGACCTGCCGGAGAACATCCTGCTGGAACTGTTCACACATGTGCCTGCCCGCCAACTGCTGCTGCGCTGCCGTCTGGTCTGCAGCCTCTGGCGCGACCTCATCGACCTCGTGACCCTCTGGAAGCGCAAATGCCTGCGGGAGGGCTTCATCACCGAGGACTGGGACCAGCCTGTGGCCGACTGGAAGATCTTCTACTTCCTACGAAGCCTCCACAGGAACCTCCTGCACAACCCATGTGCTGAAGGTGGGGTGCAGCGTGGGTCTGGCATGCCCCCAACACACACACCGTCAGGATACCAGCTCACATGCATTAAGCACTTACTATGAACTAGGCACTTCCAATGATTTAAGTCCTTTAATCCTCTCACAATGATCCGGAAAGGTAGGTACCGGTAGTGTACCCATTTTTCAGATGTGCAAACTGAGGCCAAGAGTGGCATTTCTTATTTCACCCTGAGGATTACTTCCCCAAGTGACCTTTCCTAGGAGATGGCCTGCTGGCCTGTTAGGACTAATTATGCCCCAGACACAAGACCAGGAAGTCAGCCTCCAGGGTTAGGCCTGCTAGGACTTGTCCCAGAGGTCAAAGGGGGCTTCACTCAGGAAGAATGGGAGAGCCGGTCTCCTTCCCAGTACATTTCAGCAATAGGTAAAACAAGACATCTACACGTATCCAGAGGCCCCTGGTTCCCTCGCTGTGGGGTAACTCGTCAGCTACGCACTGGGATGGTGTGGGACGGGAACCTCATTCTCCCTCGTGTGGCCAAATTCCAGAGCAAAATGACGAGGAAACAACTCCAAGCTCTCCAGAGCTTTCAGATGCCTGCCTCACTTGGCCCCCCACAGGCACGTTCTTTGCCCAGCGGCTGGCGCACTATGGTCCGTGAGCCAGATCTGGCCCTGAAGCTAAGCGTAGTTTTTACAGTTTTTAATTTTTAAAAGAAAAAAAGCATACTGTGTGATAGAGATAGTATGTAGCCCACAAAACCTAAAATATGTTGGCTCTTTACGGGAAGTCTGCCAGTTCCTATTCTTGACCCCGGTTTCTACAAGACAAAACCAAGGCTCAGAGAGGGAAAGCAACTTGCCTAGGGTCACAGAGCCCAGTATTGGTAGACGGAGGCCTAGACCCAGATCTGGCCAGCGTCAGCGCATTCCGCCTCACAGAAGGGGGCTGCTGCTTGCTCACATCGTCACGTGTCCCAGGCTTGCCAGTGGCAGTCATGTACCGTGCGGCCTGACCCATAGGAGGCACCTAGTTGAGGCAGGCACCATCGACCTGCAGTGTTCCTGCTGGAGGGCAACTGCCAAGATCCAGGGGGAAGAACCAGGAGGAGGGGGCCCTTGGGAGACGGTGACCACGGAGGGGCGTCCCCTTGATGTGAACTGTGCTTTCCTGCCAGAGGGCTTTGAGTTCTGGAGCCTGGATGTAAATGGAGGCGATGAGTGGAAGGTGGAAGATCTCTCTGGAGACCAGAGGAAGGAATTCCCCAATGACCAGGTCAAGAAGTACTTCGTGACTTCTTATTAGTAAGATCCAAGGTCAGGGGGTCTTGGGGTGGGGTGGGGGGGAGCCCAAGTTGCTGCACCCTGGGGGCTCTCTTGGCCTGGGACTGCCAGTGCCCTAGTGGTGAGCTCCAGCCCCTCCCACCCTCCGCCTGCCCCCAGCACCTGCCTCAAGTCCCAGGTGGTGGACCTCAAGGCCGAAGGGTATTGGGAGGAGCTGATGGACACCACACGGCCGGACATCAAGGTCAAGGACTGGTGAGTGCCCCGGGGCAAGGGTTTGGGGGGGGCCCTGCCACTCAGGCGCCCCACCCCCACCCTGCCCCCCATCTCCAAGGCCCTAGCGGGCCTCCCCTCTGCCTGCAGGTTCGCAGCAAGGCCAGACTGCGGGTCCAAGTACCAGCTGTGCGTTCAGCTCCTGTCGTCAGCACATGCGCCTCTGGGGACCTTCCAGCCAGACCCAGCAATGATCCAGCAGAAGAGTGATGCCAAGTGGAGGGAGGTATGTGGGCCAGGAAGGTGGCAAGGGCACACTGCTCATGGCTGAGACTACAGCCAGACAGGTCTGGGTTCAAATCCCAGCCCTGCTGCCGCTCACCTGGGCTTCAGCTGCTCTGAGGTCTGAAAGACGTCGTCAGTGAAATGATGTTGGTAAAGCCATGTTCGAAAAGGCTATTACTAATTACTAATGTTGATTGTTACTCTTACCTAGATGCTAGCAGGTGAGAGCAAATGGTCTGCAAACATTTTCTTAAAAGGCTAGGTAGAAGCATTTTAGGCTTTGCAGGCCGTACTGTCTCTGTTATAACTACTCAGCTCTTCAACTCTGCAGCTGCGTTGTGAAAGCAGCTTCAGTGAGTGGACATGTCTGTGTTCCAATAAAATTTAGAAAAATAGGTGGGGCGCCAACTCCGGATCTAGACCAGTGGTGCCCAGGAGAACTTTCTGCAGCAATAAAAATGATCCGTCTGCGCTGTCCAACATGGTAGCCAACAGCCACATGCGACTATCAAACACTTACTAAGTGCCAGTTCCTAGTGTGACTGGAGAATGGAATTTTTAAGTTCACCTAATTTTAACCTAAATAGCTCCATGTGCCCAGTGACGACTGATTGGACGTCCTTTGAAAGCTCCCGAAACTGCCTTCGTCATTCTGTGCCGCACTTAGATGATCCTGTGGAGTGAACCTTCCAGGATTTTACTCCATTTTACACACAAGGAAACTAAGGCGTAGAGAGGGGTGGTGGTCCGCCCCCCATCACAAAGTTAGGACTAGAACTCAGTTCCACTGACTCCTGGACCAACACTGAGATAGCAGACCCCTCCTCGCCCCCCGACCCCTCAGGCAGCACTACACTCAGGGTCAGCTCCCTTCAGGGTCGGCTCCCCTGACCTCGCTCCCTCCCTCCACTTGCCCCCTCCCAGGTCTCCCACACGTTCTCCAACTACCCACCCGGCGTCCGCTACATCTGGTTTCAGCACGGTGGCGTGGACACTCACTACTGGGCCGGCTGGTACGGCCCGAGGGTCACCAACAGCAGCATCACCATTGGGCCCCCTGCTGACCTGACACCTCCGAGCTCCCATCCACAGAACCCTGACTGGTAAACTGTTGTCAGAGAAAAGCCGGGCTTCCCCGGAGCTCCTAGCTCATCCCTGCCCCCCAGTCACCTCTGCTTTGTGGAGCCTTTCCATTTGCCCAGGCTTCATGTGCTGTGGACAGCCAGCTCTCCACCGAGGGCTCCCCCTGGAGGTGATGGGGCAGGCCTTTAAGAGGCGGGGCCCCTGAGGTTAGGGAGGTACAGGATGTTTCCCAGGTTCCTTGCCAGACTCCTCTGACGGTGGGTCTCCAAGCTCAGATGGCAGCCTAGGTCTGGGTTTCTTCCTTCCCCTCCCAGACCTTTCTCTTTCTCCCTGTCTTTTTTGGGGGCCCTTGCAGCAGTGGCAGAGTGGAGGACATCTGGCAAGCCTGTGGCTGCCCTTGATAATGCAGACGCTGGCAGGGGACTGTGTAGCTCAGACGGATCAGGGAATAGAGGATGGCTCTGCTGGCCTGTCCTTTGTCCCTTTCTCTGCTGTTCCCAAGCTCTTCGCTCTGCCTGCCAGCTCAGAGTGGTGGCTGAGGCCCAGGGGCTCGGGCCTGGTCTGAGATGGGCAGGTGCAGGGTGGGAGGCATCCACGCCAGGTGTGGACTGTCCTCGCTGTCAATGACGCCCCAGGAGCCAAATGGGGCGGGGCTCTCCAGAATCCTGTGCATGCAGGGCAGATGGGTGCAGGATTGGGCTCTGATTCTGAGAGTGAGGATATGTGAGCATAGGATGAGTCGGGGGAGGGTTTTCAAGGACCGCCTGTCCACCTCCGTGCCCAGCCCAGGCCTTCCCGCCACCCTTGGAACTGCCACCCAAAGGACCTCCCCACCCTGCCCTGTGCCTCTCCCCCCTGCTGGAAGGACATCAGTCTGCTGGTCCTGCCCCTGCTGCATGCAGCCGAATAAAAGGCTTTCCCAGCCCAACTTGTGTCCCCTGGTTTCTGGGGGGAAAGGGCAAACTTCATGGGACGCCCCAGACCTGTCAAAGGGGCAACATGTGTGGCTTCTGTCCAAGGTACAGAGAGGGGTTGAAATTTCAGGGGCTAGACCATCAGAGAACCAGGGTCATGGAACAGACCCCTTGAGCTGCAAGCACCTCACCCCAGTAGCCCTCAGCATTCCTAGCTTCCGCTGTGGCCTGGCTGCAAGCCTCGGGGTGGGACGGGGGCATGTGGATATCTTCTGGCAGCCCTTGCATGCACTTCACGCTGGGGTCAGCAGGGTCATCCCAGCCCTGCTTACACGTCTTTAACTTACTCTTCCCACAGCTTTAATGACATTAGATGAAGCCAAGGCACTTAGAATGGTGCTTGGTAGGTGCTCAGTAAGTACTGTTAAACAATTATCTCACTCAACAATGAGCTAGAAGAGGGCCTCGGCCGGGGAAGGGGCCACCACTCACCAACTGTATGGCAAGGTAGCAAAGGACACCCTTCTGTGGAGAAGATGCAGCCCTAACGAGGAGTTTACGTGATCTGGCCAGGCACCCTTGTGCAGCACACAGCCTGCACAACAGTTTCTGGTTCCCTGAAGTACCAGGTGCTTGATACTTACTTGGAGAATGAAGAAAGGGTCGATGAATTTAATCCAGACAAGAATGCAGAGAGATTTTTACCTTTGAGTACATGGAGGCCTGCCCACGGCCAAGCCCTAGGGAAGGTGGGAGCCAGATTTAAGCCAGACTTTCACATTCAGCAGTCTTCCTCCGGGAGGGGGCCCACCGGTGCAGAGGAGCGCCCCCCTCCTCGGTCGCATTGATCCCACCTCCCTTCCTTATCTCGGGAACAGGTTAGGAGGTCTGAGAAGGAGCTGGTACAGGGGTGGACTGTTTCAGGGCTTGGTTAGGAGGCTCGTGTTCTGGGCAAGGGGGAGGAAGCAAAGGGAAAAAATAGGTCCCAGCTGCTAAGCCACTCACAGCTTAGGGGGAAGTGATGTTTAGGAAACAAAGTCCTACGTTGCCGTGGGACAGCCCCGCAACCCTTTTTCCATAGCGTCACCCGCGCGCGGCCGAGGTCAATGCCCACAGGTCCTGGCGCGGGGGCGGGGCGTTGAGTGGCGTCACGCGGGGCGGGGCGCGCCGAGAACAGGCAGAGCTACGGGGACACAGGCTCCGCCTATCACGGGGTCGCTGTTTCGCCGGCGCGTTCTGCGCCCGTCCCCAGCTCTCGGCCCAGCTGGAGGACAGGCGAGGGGGCGACGGGAGTGGCAAAGGGTGAGTGTCCAGCGCCGGGAAGTGGACGACCTGGGGCATTCCCCGCGGACGCTGTCTAGCGCGGGACTGGAGCGACTCCGGAGACCAAGGCGGGGGAGGGGGCGGGGGGAGGAGAGCAGTTCCGGCGGGGAGCGGGGCTGAGGCTAGTGTCTCGGGTGTGGTCGAGCGCTGCGCGCAATCCGGTGTCGCCCGGTCCTGACTCCGATCCGCCCTGGCGGGCGGGCCGCCCCAAAACATGCCAAACCTCCGGGCCACACCTCGCGGGTGACGAACTGGCACCAACCGGCACTCCCACGCCCGCGGGGCCTGGAACAAGTGCCTGGCTTTCCCAAGCCTCGGTTTCTGCTTTCGAGAGTGCAAAGAGGAGTCGTTGGGAGCGTCCATGGAGAGAAGGCCGGTGCGTGACACCGTGCCGGGCACGTGGGAAGCCCAGCAAGTGCGAGGTGGCTTCTTCGGGCAGGCGTGAGTGCCCCAGGATGGGCTTCCCTCCCTGCGCCCCACCAGCACCGCACAGTCAGGCTGCACGAGAGGCCGAGGAAGGACAGAAACGAAGGGTATGGGGAGTAATAACAGGCGACCAGAGCCAAAACCCGGAGTTCGGATGCCCAAGGAAGGAGTTGCTCCTCCCTAACTCAGAGCCCAGCGACTCTCACCAAAGCCTGCGGGCCGCACCGCAGCCCAGGATAGCTGTAAGTGCGGCCCAACACAAAACCGTAACTTTACTTAAAACCTTTTTTTTTTTTTTAACTCATCAGTGTTTGTGGTTTTAATGTGTGGCCCAGAGACGCCAAAAGGTTGGACACCCCTCAGGGGTGTCTAGCCCCTAGACAGTGCTTTTAGAAGTTGCCCATGTTGTAAAATTCGCAGGTTTTTGGTTTGGTTGTGTTTTTTTTTTAAGTTCACAGTTCCTCCTGAAAAATGAGAAGACCTGGCCATGTAAGAGTTTTTTTCATCATAATATTTTTCATAATGTCCAAGTGCCTTATATATGTTTTTTTCTCTGCCATGCTAAAATGCTCTTCCCTGGGCAGGAGCCAGGGTGTACACCCACCCCCCTCACCCCCCAGTAGCTTAGAGAAGACCCTGAACTGCCTCTTTGTCCCAGTCTCTGTGGAAAATGAGAAGTCTTGCCGGTGCCCCTGGGTGTGGGTGGAGAAACCACCCTCCATCCCCCTGGGGGACCTGCTTAGATGTCTGCATCACCAGACCCCCAGGCAAGGTTCAGGCCGCTGGGGGTCAAAAGCCTTGTGTAATTTAGATATGAAGGGAGGAAAGCCTTCCTAACAGCAGGCAGCTTTACAACTACGTACTTTGGTTTGGTTTGGTTTTAGTTTTGATTTTCCTACAACGTCCTGTGCCAAATGCTTTAACCTAGCTGTTCTGGCCCCTTCTGAGGCTGGGAGTTAACACCTCCTTTTCACAGCTTCACAGTTAGTCAGGGACCTTTCAGACTGCTCTGGCCTACCACACCCCAGAAGGGAGGCGGGGCGTACATTTGGGTGTTTTATCACATCTGGTTTCCAGGCCAAAGTAAGCAATTTGTTACTCAGTACTAGCCCCACCACTTAATCAAGTTTTGACACACATAAAGATTTGATAACAGTGAATTCACGGCACTAAAATATCACCATAAACCCTTAGAGAGCTTGCAGACAGCAGTGTGGCCTTGGCAGAATCTTACTGTGCACCAACTTAAAATGAAGCAATTATTTTTTTAACTGGGGAGAGGGAGGCATGTTAAAAAATTGGGCCGGCTCTGGCCAGGTATCTCAGTTGGTTAATGTCTGGATACACCAAGGTTGTGGGTTCCATCCCCCATACCGGGTCAGAGCACATATAAGAAGTAACCAGTGAATGCATAAGGAAGTGGAACAGCAAACTGATGTTTCTCTCTCGATCAATTTTTAAAAATCAGTCTGTATTTTGAGAGCCTACGACGTACTGGAAGGATACTCCAGCACTTCAAGCCTTAACCGCCCATTTTACAACAGAAGCAGGATTAGGAGTCCCTGGTGCAGAACCCTGGGGATCTGAGGCCATCTCCTTGGTCAGCGCTCAAAACTACCCTTGCCCCCAACAGGCCTGAGTGCACCCTGCCCCCACCCCAGCTATGGCTCTGGTCAGCATCAACGAGCTGCCTGAGAACATCCTGCTGGAGGTATTCACGCACGTGCCCGCCCGCCAGCTGCTGCTGCGCTGCCGCCCGGTCTGCAGCTTCTGGCGCGACCTCATCGATGTCGTGACCCTCTGGAAGCGCAAGAGCCTGCGGGACGGCTTTATCACTGAGGACTGGGACCAGCCTGTGGCCAACTGGAAGATCTTCTATTTTTTATGCAGCCTCCGCAGGAACCTCCTCCGCAACCCATATGCTGAAGGTGGGCTGCTTCCTTTTCAGAGCCTCAGGGCCTTTGCACTTGCTATGCCCACACTACCTGGAATGTTCTCACAGAAACTAACACCCATCGTGTTCCCTTGGTTCCCCCTTATTCTTGAGGTCTCAGTTCAGGGACCTGCCCTGGTCCATCTAAGCAGTTCCCTACCTCTCCCCTGTCCCCCTCTATTTAGGACCCTCAGAGAACTTTTCATAACCTAGGATCACCTTTTTAGCTCGTGGTTTGTTTGTTTTTTTCCTTTGCCACAAACTTCAAGTTCCAGGGGCCTCATGGATCATGCTTCCCTCTCTACATCCAGCGTCCACAATGGTACCTTCACACAGCAGGTGCTCAGTAAGCATTTTTTTGAATGAACAAACTGCAGGTCCATCTTTGCCCCTTCAGCGCAGTCCAAGCTGCCTAACGTGTGCAGAGGGCTGCTTCCATGCCAGCCACTAGCCAGAGCTCTTCCCCAAGCGTGACTACCCTCCCATTATCCCAAGTATACAAATGAAGAAAATGATGGTTTTCAGAGGTGACTGCAGTCACATAATTTGAGGCCCCTGTTTAGCGCGTGCTCTCTTGTATTCGCCAGGTTTTTCTTTTGTGCAGCACCTACCATATACCAGGCACCTTGCTCCTTACTGGGGCTACAGCAGGAAATGATTAAGAGGCATTGTCTGTATACTTAGCATCCCTCTTATGTCTGTTTCCCCTCTTTATCCTCATGTGGATCCCAGCAGTTGGCCAAATAAGGCAGGTTAGCTGCACTGTATAGACGGGAACATTAGGCCCCAAGCAAGGTGAGTGTCTTGACTGAAGGTCCAGAAACGCCCAGCTGCTGAAGGCCCTCGGGCCCCTCTAAGAAGCCCTGCAGTCGGCACCCCAGATAATTAGATCTCTCCGTCTCCCCCAGGTTCCTCTCAGAAGCTGCCCAGCCAGGCCACTGGCTCAGCTCACACAGCCCCATAGAGCTAACCTGCAGCCTTGCCCTGTGCCCTCGGCCCAGCAGTGGTCAGTGCAGCCTTGCTTAGATCCTTCCTTGGGCCTACGCTCAGCGCAGCCCAGCTCCTGGACATCTGTAGTGCCCGGCCAGCTTTCCCCTGGGGAGACCCTGGGCACCTGGATAATAGGTGTGGGCTCCTCGTAGAGGAAGCAAGGAAGTAATTTGGAAAAAGCTCCCTGGCAGTTGTTCTGGAAAGCCTTGGGGAGGGCTTCTTGTCTAAGGGCTTCTCCGCTCTGTCTGAAGAGGGAGACCGGAACCTGCTGACCCAACGTGGTGGGACTCTGTCCACAAATAGGGGGTCACTGCACACCACCAACCCCGAGGATGACTGTTCTCCCTGTTGTCCCTCCCACCCAGGGCAGAGGTTTCCTGGGACCCACCAACAAACCTGTAAATGGTCCTCACGCCCCCTCAGATCTCAGCGGTGTTACAATGTTGGGGGCAACGTCAGTTGTCCCATTGGGACATATGCACATTAGTCATTAAGAATGAAAGTACCACCCTGGCTGGTGAGGCTCAGTTGCTTGAATGCCGGCCTGTGAACCAAAAAGTGGTTTGACTCCCAGTCAGGGCACCTGCCTGGGTTGGGGGCCAGCTGTGGACTCGCGAGAGGCAACCCACCAACGTTTCTCTCCCTCTCTTCCTCCTCCCTTTCCCGTCTCTCTAAAAGTAAATAAATCTTTAATTAAAAAAAGGGTCATCAACAGTTAAAAGAGTGAAAGTACTTTTCTGAGAACTATAACTTGGGTATTTCCCAGAGACCCTTGGCAACAAGGAAGTGAGGAAAGGTGGGGTTTTCCCCCAGCTTCACCGCAGGAGTCAAGCTAGTCAGGGACAAAGAAGGAGGGAGGGGGTCCCAGATCAGAGGTGATACAGGTGGGAGTGGGTAGGAGGCGCTGAGCTCTGCGGGGGTGTTGCGAGGCGCAGGTGGGGCACATACCTGGGGATCTGCAACATGAGCAAGCCCCGCATTTCAGCCTCCCTCCCAGGACCAAATGGGGAGGGTCAAGCTGCACATTCACATTTACCCAGCTTCCGTCTCTCCTAGAGGGTATGGCACACTGGCGTATCGACCACAATGGGGGTGACCAGTGGAAGGTGGAGAGCTTACCTGGAGCCCATGGGACAGACTTTCATGACTCCAAAGTCAGGAAGTACTTCGTCACATCCTATGAGTAAGACAAACTGAACCCAGCGTCGCGGGGAGAGGGTCAAGACACCTTTTTCCCAGTTGCAGGCCCACCTGCACAGGGCCTCTGCGAAGCTCAGGGGATGTGGTCCCACCACCAGCTCAGAGTCTCCTGCCTCCTGGGGCAGAAGCAAATTCTGACGGGGAGTGGGGGGCGGGTGCAGGGGTGGAAACCAATATAAGGAGGCTGGGAGCTGCGGGGCAGCTAGGCTGTCAGGGTGTCTGCAGGGGTCCCTAACCTAGAAGTGTGAATTCCTTGGGGCCCTGGCAGACTGGCCCCAGGGACTGGGATCAGATGCTGCCTAGGCGCAAAGGGGTCCAACTCCCTGCATGTTGCTTACGGGCCTAGGCCGAGATAGGAGCCAGAGTCGGCACCGGCCAGGGGACACTGCTGGGTCCCCCGAACCACCACCTGGGTCCGGCTCATGCAGAGCACACCTGGGAATGCAAGCCTTGCCTTCTGTCCTCCAGATTGTGCCTCAAGTCCCAGCTGGTGGACCTCAAAGCCGAGGGCTACTGGGAGGAGCTAATGGACGAGTTCCGGCCCGACATTGTGGTTACGGACTGGTGAGTGTGGCCAGGGCCCCACTGTGCAGCCTCCGCCCTCCTGAGAACCCCTGGAGGGGGTGCCCACTCTGTGCCCAGCAGTGCCCTAGAGCAAGGGCCGCCACAAAGCCAGGCCACCCCCCTCCCCATCGACAGACCTGGCACTTGCTCATCCAGTAGCACCTTCAGGCCTCCCCACCACCCTCTGCCAGCAGTAGACATTGACCTCACCTTAAAGATGGGGAGACTGAGGCCTGCAGGTGAGATGTCACAAACAGGCACTAGAGCAACAGACAACCAAGACCCAGCTGTCCTGGACATCGCAGCACTCACGTGCCTTCTTACCTGCCTCCCCTGCCCCTTGTCACTGTGTAACCCACAGCTCTCTCAGCTTCCTTCTCTGTACAAAGCTGCACAGCCCATGGCAGAAGCAGGACCCCGTCCTGGGCCACCACTCTGAGGGGGGAGGGGTGTGCAGAGCTGCAGGGGCTTGGGCGGGACCAGCAGGGCTGAGCAGAGGGGTAGCGCTGTGCCACCCCTCCCTCATTCTCCCAGAGTCCACAGCCCGGCCCGCTGCAATGCACAGGGGACACAGCTCTGACAGCCTGAGCCTTTATCTCTGTGCTTTGCTTTTTAAGGTGAACTCTTCTCTGAAATACCCAAAAGGGTTGCCCTTTTCTCAGACAGAGTAACCGAGGCCCAGCCCAGACAGACTGCTTCCCGGGGCCCGGGGGGCCCTGAAGGCGGGCCTCACGGGCTATACAAGGAAGTGGCATGCAAGAACTCCAATTTGCAGCCCACGCCAGGGCCGCCCTGTGTCTTGGGGTGCAGTCCTGGAGTGCACAGTCCTGAGCCCTGCCCTCGCCTAGGTTCGCCGCTAGAGCAGACTGCGGCTGCACCTACAAGATACGCGTACAGCTGGTCTCAGCCGACTACATCCCCTTAGCCTCCTTCGAGCCCTCGCCTGTGACCATCCCTCAGTGGAACGACGCTGCGTGGACAGAGGTGAGGCCTCCACCGCTCGCCTGCCATCCACTTCTCCCCGGGCCTGCACCGCCCTCAGCTCTCGCACCTGGAACTCCTACCCTCCCTGTCCTGGTGGTCACTTTTTCTCCCCTCCCTCCAGGTCACCCATACCTTCTCAGATTACCCTCCGGGCGTCCGCCACATCCTCTTCCAGCACGGGGGCCAGGACACCCAGTACTGGGAGGGCTGGTACGGGCCCCGCGTCACCAACAGCAGCATCATCATCAGCCCGAAGGCGACCAGGAACCCTGCGCCCTCCGCAGCTCAGCCCAGGCCCAGGCCCAGGCAGGAGGAGGGTGCTGACCTGTCCTCCCCGCTTCCTGACAGTCTGTCACCAGACAGCTCTTTACTCGTCCTCTGTCCCGGCCAGTCCCGGGACCTCCTGCCACAGTTGTAACCTTGGGCGAACCCACCAGATGGTGGTAACTCACTGCTGCAGCTTTCTGTTAAATGTAGCTCTGCCATTTTGTCATAATAAATGTTTTCAGTAGAACCAGCCTGGCCTGGGTCTGGGAGTTGGGGGTGGGGGTCCCGGGCACTTTGGTAGAGAAGCAGCCCGCCCCCGGCGAGTTTGGCTGCCTCTGTCCCTCCCACGCCAGTCAGTGAGAACCCAGGCCAGCCCTTGGGGCCCTTTATTGAAACAACTCACAGCACAGTATTTGAGACAGTGTTGGCCGGCCAGACCCCAGGAAGCTGAGGAATCCGGGTCCCAGCACCCTTCCTGCCCTTCTGCAGGGGGAGGGGTTCCTCCATGAAGACCACCAGACCTGAGCAGCCCCAGGCTGGAGGGCGGGCAGTCCATACAGAGGCAATAAGAGCACTTGGAATCAGGAGGGCCCCACAGCGCTGCCCTAGACTGAGGGCCCCCAAAGTCCGACAGTTGTGGCATCTGTGGGGGGTGGGGGGCAGACACACCCTCAGCTGCTTTTATGAGCTCGTTCTTCCACGTAGAGCTGCATCTAATGGACAGGAACAAACGGCCACGTCAGGGCACCTGTATGGCGGCTCATGAGCTGCTGCAGGCAGCTCTCTGCCAAGCGTCAGATTGCGTGGCCCCAGCAAGAAGTTAAGGGCCCAGGGGAAATGGGAGGAGCCTCACGCCAGCACTCCCTGGTACTGTCCCCCAGGCCTTGTCCACAAGGCCTTAGCGCACCATAAACAAAGTGTACCCGGTCCCCACACAGCTCACCTTTAAAATGTCTGATGTCATGGTTTTTAGGGGTATCAGCCGGGGGTCATGCATGTGGACATCCTGCTCATCTGCCAGGATCCAGGGGAAGTCCTAGGGAGGGGCCGAGGGGAGGAAGTGGAAGGGGGCTGGACTGTGGCCTGCTAGGGAAGTGCAGGGTCCCAGGCTCCTCCACTGGACAGACCAAGTCTGCAGGTCGGAGCGGGGCTGGGGACCGAAGTAACTTAAAAAGCCCCATGTGCCAATCCTGAGGCTGGTGGGCAAGGACCCCCTCCCTGGAGAACCTCCGCTGAGCCGGCGGCCCCAGCGTCTGGCCCCACCTTTGGGTGCAACGTGCCCAGTTGCAGCCAACGGCAGGCCTGCGGCCGCACAGCCAACACACAAAGGGAACCTACTGGGTGCTAGGCGCAGTCATAAGCGATGCAGCAGGTGCAGTGGCCATGCGCAGCACCCCCGCCCACCTGGAAGTGTGGCATTGGCTCCTCAGAGCCTCCTAGCTGTCTCCCCAGCGGCCCAGACCACTGTCATCTCACCTTGATGACCTGGATCTTCTCCATGTTGCGTGTGGCAGCTTCCCTCGTGTGCACCAAGACTGTGAAAGTACAGCCTGAAGAGGCAAGCGTTTGGTCAAGCCTGGGCCACACCGTGCCTGCCACTCGGCCTCGTTTCTTCCCATGTCCCTAGCTAGCTCAGCAGCCCCACAGATGAGAGTGGACACCAAACGTGAAGACACAGCCAACAGGCAGACTGAAGCCAGGGTGGAGTCAACCAGGGAAGCTTCCTGGAGGAAGTGGACTTTCAAAGGAGTTCTTAAAGGCAGGAAGGAAGCGACGAAGCTCAGTGCAGCCAAACAGGAACTTGAGAACACAGACCAACCCAAGGGAGCCGTGGAAACACCCAGGGAAGAGGCAGTAGGAGGTGAGCACACCTGGGGGGTTGTGGTCCAGGACAGCATCACACACGCTGATCTTCAGGATGAAGGCTCGGAGAAGCTGCTCCACATGAGAGAGCAGGGAGTCTGAGCTGGGAAGGAGAGAAGAGGAAGGCCTTCCATCACACGGGTGCCCGCCTTCCACCAGCAAGCAGTCAACCTGGCATGCAAACCCTATGGGTCCAGGGCCCCTCTGGTCCTTCTGAGAGTTTTGGCTTCTGAGAGCCCTGCTACCTATCATCTGGGGAGTTTAAAACTAGTGCAGGGCCCCAGCCCAGACTGATGAAGTCAGGAGGAGGGGAAAGGGAGGAAGGGATCCCCTGTAGGTGGTTCCTATATGCTAATATCCCCCCTGACCCTCCAGTCTGGGAACCATGATCCCCAGCCTGAAGGGAAAGGGCTTGCCCAAGGCCATACAGGACAGATTTCATTGTCCTGACCTCACCACCGGAAGCCAGTAGCTGACCAGCTAACATACCTGCCCAAGGTCAACTTCTAATTGACTAGGGACTTCACAACTTGACTGGGAAGTTAGGGCACTGGGTTGTGGCCTGGCTCTGCCACCATGTGGGGGACCCTGGGTAGTTTATGTCACATGTCTGGACCTCAGTGTCTCCATCTATGTAAGATGAGGCTGGGACCAGCCATTCACCATTGCTGTGGCTTTCCCAGTATGACACAGGAGAATCTCCATGTAACCTGTGTGACATCCCAAGACCACTTGGGGGCCTGCCTGTTAGGGTCACACGTTTTGCGTTTCTCCAGGATACTAGGCGCTGCCTTAAAGGGGTGAAGGAGGCGTATTCCGAGGGACCTCACACCATCAGCAGGGCGACAGCGGGGCGGCGCTCACCTGATAGACAGCAGCGGAGGCTGGGTGATTTCAAAGACGAACTTCTCCACTGGGCGGTGCTCTTTGTCCAAAATGACCACCACCACTTTCTCTACATCATTCTGCAAGGACAGGAATCCCCTACTGCAGAAGTGGGTGCCCCACCCACCACCACCTGCCCCCGCCATGCCCAAGGAAGGAATGGAAGGGCGCTCTCACAGCCCTGCTCGGCCTCTAGGCTGATGGTCCCCAAGAGCCTGGGGAGATGTCTGAGAAGTTCAAGTGGGCACTCCCGGACGTGAGTGGTATGGGGTGAGGGGAGACTACCTGGTCCCCTTAGGGGCCCCAGGACATCTCAGAGAACAGGACAAAATAGATGGGGAAAACCCTAAGGGGCCAAGCCCAGACAGAACTTGAGGGTGGGGGATGAGAAACAGATGTGCGAAGAACAGAACCCTCCCAGGGAGGCGCCACTCATAGAACCACCCACGAGCCAGAGCTCCTGGGCCAGGCACACCCTGCACGTGGCCCACGTGGGCTGGGACCAGTCCCTGGGCTCGGGTGGTCTCCAGGGGCAGGAAACAGGCTTCTGAGTGCAAGAGGCATGGGGACCCTGCATGGTCCCAGCATCCCTCATCCCATATCAGGGGGTGGGGTGGGCTGGGGGACCTGGTGGCCTCACCTTCTCCAGGAGTGGCTTGACACAGTGCAGTGTGTCCTGGATATACTGGTTCAGCTCCGGGTGGCAGGACATCTGCACACAATGCCACAGCAGCTGGTGAGGCCCACAGCACCGACGAGGTGACACCCACCATCCCCTCCAGGAGCCTAGGCCCTGCCTCCCTTTGGAGGGAGGCCCAGGAGCTCCCTGGAGCGTCCTACCCAAGAGACCAACTTCCTACCATGGGGCCAAGAACTCAGAATCATCCACACAGGGGGATGAGTTAGAAAATAAGAATTCAGTCTCAACATTAACACTTAACATAGCATTAGGGTTTCCCTAATGTGGGGTCCTTTGGCCCTTCCAGAGTCTGAGAAACCCCTAAATTGTATGTATTTGGGCATATGGGTATTTTTTCCAGAGAGGGGATCCAGAAATGTAATCAGTTTTCAAAAGTTAAAAATCTGGAACTAAGGAGCTATGTGGCCTCAGGCAAATTACTTCTCTGAGCTTTAATAAACTTCATCCGTGAAGATCTCAAAAGAAAAAGCAATAATTAAGATATGCATGTAGTGAGTGCTCAGTAAGTGCTGTTCTCTCCCTTTCCCTCACACATCCTTTAAGCTTCCACCACTTTCCAGTGTTCAGTCATTCATTCTAATGTTTACTGAGTGCCTTCCGCGGGGCAGGCACTTCTAGAGACTGGGAATAGAGTAGCATAGTGCTTTGTTTCCCCCTTAACCTACAATTAGGGTGAGGGCAGGAAGAAGGTGCCTGAGGTTTGCAGGAATCCCCTCCCCCAAACCAACCACTGACCAGCTGCTTCAAGAACTCTTTTCAATCATGCCCCAAGGGCAACTCTAGTCAGAAGGCCTGGTCCCTAACTGCTGGAGGATAACTCCCAGTTCCGAGGGGAGGGTAGGAGCCAGCACTGAAATGGGGGGGGGGGGGGGGGGCGGTGGCTACCAGTAGCTGCCAGGACCTGGGAAGCGAGGCCCCGCCGCTGGAGAAAAGGGGCTGGGCTTGAAGGTGGAAATGAATTTTTAAATGCACTCTCTACCCACTCTACGATTAGGGAGGTGACCCCTAGTGGTTCCAGCCCGTTTGTGAGGGCTCACCTGGACAGGCACGTTGTATTTCTTACGCTTCTGGAAAATGCCCACCGGGTAGACCTCGCGCACGTAGAGGATTAGGTGCACGGCCACCTCCAGGAACTCGCAGAGCACGTCGGCCACCACTGCGAGGGTAGAGAACCCGGTGTGTTCAGGGAAGCCCGCTGGCCCAGGCCCTCCCTCGCCCCCGGGTAGGAAGGTCCAGCATCCCTACCTTGGCCAAAGTTGAGGTCCTGTCGCGTAAGCGTAGTCATCCTTCCCGCCACCTAAGGGTGGGACAGGAGTGGGAGCTAGTTCCAAAGGTCCAGGCAGCCACAGGGCCCGCCCGCCTCCACCGCCCCTCCCTTCCGCCTGGGGGGAATGAGGCAGGACCCCCCCAGAACCCAGGATCAAGGCAGCTGGGAACGACCCCTACACTGGCGTCACAGCTCGGAGCATCAACCGCGCCTCGAACAGCTTCCTTTCACTGGCACTTCACTCGATGTCTCGTGGTGGGTGATAGGAAAGGCCAGAGCTGTGCGGGCAAAAAGGGCCGCAGAGGTAACCACAGGCTGTGTAGGGCCGGGAGCGGAGAGCGGGACACGCGGTAACAGAAACTAGGCTGGAATATGGCTCCACCCCCTGCACGGCCGGCCCCCTCCCCGGAGAGAATCCCGCCCCTCTCCCCTCCCTCGGTACCGGCTCTGGCCTTGGTTCCCGGCTCGAGGCCCGGCCCCCCGCGCGGGGAACCACGGACCTAGGCACTTGCGCCTCCAGCTCAATCCGCGCGGCCCTGGCGCCGCTTCGTGACGTCCGCGGCGCCGCGGCGGGTCCTAGAGCGCGCTTCGGACCACGCCCACTCCCCCCAGCGGCTGAAGCAGGGGCGGAAGCCGCGGCGCCCAGGGGCGGGGCCTTGGCGGGGCGGGGCCTTGGCGGGGCGGAGCCCGGCCTCGGAGCTGGAGAGACCCAGGGCCCGAATGGGATAATATTGCGCCAACCTGACTCCTTTCAATTTTGAGTGGGCACGATAAAAGGCAACTTTGGTCTCCACGTCGGATCGTCCTCCCCAGGGCATTTCTCTCACTTTAGGAGGCGCAGTAAGCGGGTGAGTACGTGCTGCTGGTGCGGACCAGATGGAGGTCACAGCTGGGAACTATGGACAGCGACATCTACTGCTAGTTCCGGCAACACGGTTCCCGGGTTCAGCTGCCCAACCGAAAGCGAATCCGCCGGCTTCGGGGCGGGGAGAGGGGGAGGACGAGGGTGTACCTGGGATGCCGCCACCCCCACCCGGAACCTGTACGGCCTAGCTTTACCTCCCAAGAAGATAAAACCTCCCGGGCCCCTGCATTATAACAATAGCTGGCCCTTGTGAAGGTTCGTCGTGTGCCAGACGCTGGACTAAATGTGTCCATGGATGATGTCACTAAATTCTCAAAACAATTCTACGCGAGTTACTCTCGTCCCCATCTTACAAATTAACCAACGAGGTTTAGAGAGGTGAGGTAAAATGTCACACAATTGGGGGAGGGGCGCGCGGATCTGCCTTCTGCCACTACACTTTACAGCTCTGGAGTGATCCCCTCCCTGCCCCCCGCCCCATGGGCCCCTGAAAACATTAATATTAAAGTAATTACTAACATGGATTGAGCACTTGTTTGTCAAGCACTGATCTCTTTAATTCTCCCATTAACCCTAGGAGCTAAACACCCATTTTATAGCCTCACTTTATAGATGGTAAAGCAGGCACAGAGACGTTCTCTAATTTGCCAAAATCACACATTTGAAATACAAACCCAGTTTGACTTCTATTCAGACTTCAGGACTTTGGCTTATTATCAGCCCCTTTCTTTTACAGTTGGGGAAATTAAGATCAGAGAAATGGCTGTGGAGTTACCGAAAACCAAGTCAGAACCAGAAGCCCAGGGGCCTTGTCTCTGACCTCCCAGGGCTTGTCAGAAGTCATACCCATCTGTGAGTACACAGATCTAGCCGGGAATGTGGGAGACCCTTTACCCCAGAAGCCTTCAAATCTTCATTTACACACTTCCGATGGGGTGGGGGCAAAGGAGAGAATGTGTAGCCTGGCCCATTAAGCTAGGAATGCCAGCAGAGCAGGTCTCAAAAGGAGTCCTTGGAAATCTGCATCAGAATCCCTGGGGAGCCCATTCAACACTGGAAACCCTGGCCTCCCAGACCTACCAGTTTAGCCAGAGTGCACAGCATGGTACTGGCCCTTTAAGGGCTCCCCAGGGGCCCTGATGCCCAAGGAAGTGAGGGAATTACTACACCCGGTTTGGGATGTTCCCAAAGAAAGTCTGCATTTCATAAAACTGCACCGCTTACCCCAAAAGGGTGAATAACTGATGTCAGTTGATGCACCTGGCAGCGCATCTGGGGCGCAGCAACTCTTCTCAGGACAGGGAGGTCCTGCCCCCATCGTGCCATGCGTGAGAGGACCGCTTTCACACGGAGCCAGCCAAGGAGCTCATGGGCACGTAGAAGGTGTCCCTGGATCCTTGAGATGTAATCATTGTGATGCTTTGGCCACTAGGGAAATGCGGATCCTTCTTTGCCTCTTTCTGGAGGCTAGTCAAGTAGCTTTTTAATTGGTGACAGGAAGTGACAGTTTTAGAGAGGCAATTCCTTGTAAAGCGTCCCTGCGTCCTGGAACCTGGAGTGGAAAAGCTCAGAGCCCAGCTACTCCTGCAGGGTGGCCTCCAGGGCGCAGTCTGAGTGGCATGGGGGCTCATGCCAGGCCCCCCTCCGTGGGCCCACAGCCCCAGCCCTCTGCCCTAAGGAGACACAGCACAAGCCACCCAAAGGCCTCCTGACATACAGCGAGAGGAACTCCAGAGACACCTTGGAGGACCTACAACCCAACACTTATATTTCTCCAACTGGGAAACTGAGGTCCCAGTAGCCCTTGTTTGACGCTGGGGTACCCACCTTGTCAAAACCCATAGATAAAAATGGCTGGGTTTGGGGCTTTGTATTCAGAGTCAGCCATAAACAGAGGAAAGCAGGTGGGAGACAGATGAGGGATTCAAACTGATCTGACCCCTAACTCCACGAAGGCCTCCGCTCCTCATTCATGAAATGAAGAGGATGGATGGATGTTCCCTAAACCTCTAGTGGCCTTGGGTTCCACAGGGGCCGAGAGGCTGGGGATAGGGCAGGGGCAGGGGCTGCTGGGGAGCGCTATGAAAACTCATCTGTCACTTCCACCCACAGGGCTCTGCGGCAGCTGGCTTTTCATATCTTAATCACGTCAGCATGATGGATGGTCGAGGGACCCAGATGACATTATGGGGTTAATTTATTACATTTTTGAATACCCATTTGCTGGGAGACTGTTTCTGTTTTTCAAAGTTATTTGCATATTTTTCACCATAACGACAATATGTAGGAGGGTGTCTGAGAAGGAAGGATGGATGTTGAGGAGGAGGAAGAGCTTTATTTGCCAACTGGAGCAGGTCCCCGAGGGTCTGCAGTGGGAACAGAGACAAGATCATTCCCAGGGGACATTTATATTGAAATTAAAGAGAAGGCAAGGTGCAACAACGTCTTGCAAAGGAGGGCCTTGCAAAGACTAAGGCCTGCATGGGCCAAGAGGGTTCCTGGTGACTCACTGAGCAAGCTCACAGCGATTAAACTGGGCAGGACAACAGGTAACAGTGTCCAGACCCTGAGATGCTTTCAAAGCCCCTCCTCTTCCCATCAGGCTGATCACAGGCTGAATCACGGCTCCTGCCCCTGCCAAAGGGTCCCAGGACGCCAAACACAAGGAAGTGGGGGAGTCGCAGAGTCGGCCATATAGAGCTTGGCCACAATCCCACAGATACCAATGCTCAGGAACCCAGCCAGTTGAGACGACAACTCAGCAGAGACCCAGTCTCATTCCTTCTTTTAGTTCAGCACCTCAGCCAGTGCCTGGCCACATCCACGTTCTCAATGAGAGTGTGTGAAATGAGGGAGTGAGAGACCAGAGGAACTAAACAGTGGCAGACAGTGGCTCATGACCACTTGTCTCACTCAAATCCTAACCGTCTAGGTGAGGGGCAAAGACCGCTGATGGCAGGGATTTGGCGAGGCCTGCAGAAAAGAGCCGCTTTGGAAAAGGAGCGAGGAACGCGGGATGCTCGCTCACTGCGGTGCCCCATGTCCCCCAGGCTGCTTGCCTGCCCCACCTGCGGTTCCTCGCCCACCACTGCCGCTGCACCAGCAATTTAGCCCTTCGCTCTCTGAACCTGTTTCCTCACCTGTAAACTGGGGTAGTAGTAGTACAAATTCCATAGAGTTGAGAGCGAGTCAATGAAATAATGCTTGTAAAATTTGAGGTGCACAATGCCTAGCACAGAAATGCTCAATTAGCAGCTGTTATGACAATGATACTAAAATCAGCACATGCTTGCTAAGCCCCTAGAGCAAACCCTCTGGACCAGCCAGCATGCTTTTCAAAACCCCACCCAAAACACCCGTAGCTGTGCGCTGCCCCCACCCCGTTTTCATTTCCCTAGGCAGCAGGCAGCCCCCAAGGTGCCCTAAGGGAAGACACGCATCTTCATGGCCCAAGATGCCTCAACAAGGGGCTGCGGCAGGCAGACAGTTCCTCTCCTCCCTCATTTGGCCTTCTGGTGTGAGGCCTGACCTGCACGGCTGTCCCAGGCCCTGGGGTCCACTGCTGACCTCAGACCCAAGCCAAAGCCCAGTGACAGCAGGCACGCCCCATACTTCAGCCAGGGTTGAATTTCTGAATCTCTTCCTAGACTCTGAGACTCTGCCCAAATGCACAGAGACACTGAATGTCTTCCACAATTTCAGGAGCGCCCAGGCCCTCTGAAGTCATTCTGGGGTCCAAGGGTCCACAGGGCAAAAACCCTTGATCCAAAAAAAAAGTTGAGAGCAGCTCAACTTTTAAAAAATAACTGCTTTATTCAGATGCAATTCACAAAGCATAAAGTTCACCCTTTTAAAGTGTGCAATTCATTGGTTTCCAGGATAGTCCCAAAGTTGGGCACCTGTCACCACTGTCTAATTCCAGAACATTTTCATCACTCCAGAAAGGAAAAGCTGCACACACATCAGCGGTCACTCCCCAGTCTGCCTCGCTCCAGCCCTTGCAACCACTAGTCTACTTTCTATCTCTGTGGACTTCCCTATTCTGAACGTTTCCTATAAACTCAGTCACATAATATGTGGTCTTTCACATCTGGCTTTCATGTCTTAGCATAACATTTTCAAGATTCATCGGATGTGATGTGTATCGGTACTTTGCACCGGTTCCTCCTTCTGCCTGCATCGCTCTTCTCACAGCCACGTGGCTCATTACCTCATTTTCTTGTCTCTTCTTCTTCTTCTTCTTCTTTTTTTTTTTTTTGTTCTTAAGTCATTTCATTACCTCACTTTCTTTGCTAAGAAATTGCCTCACCAAAGGAACCTTTCCTAGGAACCTTATGTAAAACAACTCTTCCTCTTCCTATCTTCTCTCCTTAATGCTCTTTATTATTATTTTTTCATAGCAGATAGTCACCACTGGACATATTACATAGATATTTGTTCACTTGCTTCTGTCTCCTTCACTGGGATGCAAGCTCCGCGAGAGCAGGGAGTCTGGTCTGTGTTGTTCATTACTGGAGCCCCAGTGCCCAGAACAGAGCTGGCATATAGTAGGTACTCAATAGGTTATGGGATAAGGGATTTAAACCTTCCGGTGAAGCCCTGGCTGGTGTGGCTCAGTGGATTGACTGCCAGCCTGTGAACCAAAGGGTCACCAGCTCGATTCCCACTCAGGGCACATGCCTGGGTTGCAGG